TACCGGTTTGCTGTACACACCCTGAGTAGGAATCGAGCCTGCAACCTCTCAGTGTATGACACGATGCTCTACCCAATGATCCACCCAGACAGGGCCCAAGCTTTTCACTTTCAATCACACATGGCATTTGGCTTCACAACTCCAACTAGATGCCATTAATTGTTACTTTACTCATCTATTTCCCCTACACATGCTGCTGTCTACACCTGCAGGATGAGAATAACAAGACTTAGAGCAGCAGGCCTGTAAGAAAAGCCACTCGAAAGATATCTAACTTCATTTAAGACAGATGTTCACCTTGCCCTGTTCAGGTTTCCTGAATGGGTACTTTTTTTCTGATTTGTTTAAAGATGTCACCTGTGATAAAGAACCAAAAAATTATTTGATTTGATTATATGAGCAGTTTAAAATACTACCTTTGTGGGTACCAATGACTAACTTCCATGTGGATATCACAGCACAGGATTCAAGCATCTGGTAAACGCTGAATGAGTACAATGGATGAGGCAGGGGATTAGGTGCTCATGACACAAAGATGAATAAGACACTAAGTGCCAACCCAGGGAAGATGTTGAATGCGCAAACAATCTCAACAGAACTCAAGTGCTACAGGGTACAAAATGTTTTGAAAGCACACAGAGGAGGCAGTGACTAATTCTGTCTGGAGAGAGTCATCAGTGTGGGGTGATGGAGAATAATGGGAGATACAACTAGGGAGAGCCGGACTAAAGAACCCTAATCACCTTCTCATTATTCACTTCCCTTGGGCAACTGCATTCACTTCCAAGGCTTCAACAACTCCCCAGGTCAACAACCTCCATCTATGAAATCTCAGCTCCCATCTCTCTCTTGACTACAGGCACATATTCTCATCTACCTCAGAACACCTATCTCTGTATGTCTCAGAGATATCTCATATAAAAGACATCTCTCTCACCTCCCCAGACTTCTTCCTTTATTCCCATCCTCAGTTTTCAGTCAGAGGCCAAATTATAAAACCTCATTGTCATCTTCTATGCCTCCTTAGCTCTCACCTCCAAGCGGCCACCAAGTCCTATGAATCCTACTTCCAAAATCTCTCTGAAACCATCACTTCTTCTCTGTCCCTCCATTCCTTCTGTGCAGGCCTACAACTTTCCCCCCTCCAACTACTATGGTAACCACAAAATTTATCTTCTCCAAACTGTTTCCATTTATCCATTCAACTGGATGCAAGGCATTGTGGGCACTGCAGCAAACAAGACATGCAAAGAATGTGCCTGACTTCCTATTTGCTCGTTCCAGCCAAATTTCTTTTTTAAATTAATCTGGCCTTGACACATACTAGCTTCAAGTCTTCAGTAGCCTCTCACTACCTAAAGGAGAAACTCCTAGCATGGACCACAAGGCTGTTCAAAAATCTGACAAATCCTACCCCTCCAACCTCTTGTTCTACCATCCTCTCACAGGCCCCTTAAACTCCAGGCACATCCAGCTACTTCCCTGTTATTAAAACCTCATGTTTCTTCAGGCTTTGCTTTAGCAAATGTTACTTCCTATGGCTGGAACATTCTTTCCTCTTCTCCCCCTTGGGGATTCTTACCCCAGAGATTCCAAATTTCCCTGCCCAAACGGGGCACTCATCACATGGTATATAAATCATGTTTAAAAATCTGCTTCTTCCACTTGGCTGTGAGCTCCTTAGAGGACAGGAGCTGTATCACACATGAGTCCACCTTCACTGTAGACATTCAGTGACCTTTGGTTGCAAGAAAAAGCAAGGAGGAAGGATAGCAATCTGGAAAGGTTAAGAGGCAAAGGTCAGGAAAATTGGGAAAGACAGCTCACACCTACCCTGAAGGCCTGTGCAAAGTACTTGCTTTGTGAAGTACTTTGTCTCTCTCTGGGCTCTAAGGCTAGAGCTTCCTTTGGGGGCATGTTTCTCAAAGTGCAAGACAAAACAGCTTTGTACACCATCAGGCGGACAAGCAGGACCCTCCCTTCTCATTCCTCTCAGTGTTTCTGATTTGACCAGAGAAACACACACAGCCATGGTGACTGGCCTCACTTTAAATTCATGACAACTAAGTCCAAGTGGGTCCTTAACGCTTCCCCGAAATTCTACATTTCTCCCTTTTACTCACTCAAGTCAGGACTCATTTAGTTGCCATGCTCCTCATTATTAGAAATAAACTGTGCTCCTAGTTAAGACCAAACTTGCTCTTCTTGGTCTATAGATTCCACTCCTTCTTGCTTACTAACATCACTCCAGCAATTCTATCTTCTCTTCTGTTTCACCATTTTTGTCTCTCTCTCTGAGACTATTTCTAATTTCTCTTACAAAAACCAAAAAATAAAAACTGTCTCAAATCGTCTTTCCATTTCAGTTAGCACCCAATGTCTTCCCTTTCTAGGAAAACTTCCAGACCATTGCTTACCTTGCTGTCTCCAATTCCTTACCTCCTATGCTCCTTGAACCTATGCCAATCAGACTTTCACTCTTATTGCTCCCAACAGCTGTTCAAGGTCACCAAAGAGCTCCATTAAAGAGCATTACACAGTTGATTTTTCTCTCCCCCAAAGAGGTTCTTCAGCTGGATCCCAAGATATCATTCTCTTTTGGTTTTTCAGTGGTCAATCCTTCTCAGTCTATTTTGCTAGTTCCTCCCCCATCTCCTCAGTCTCAACATTTGCCCCAGGGGTTAGTCCTTTCCATCAACATACATAGACTCCTGGCTTTAAATACAATCTACATTTGTAACTCCAGTCCAGGGAGACTCTGCACTCTGGGCTCATACATTCAATTGCCTATTCAACATCTCCACATCTCCACATCTCCACATCTCCACATAGGTATCTAATAACCATATAAAAACTAACATGCCTAAAAACAAAATCTTGAAACCATCCCCTGCCCCAAATATGTTCTTCCCATTCTCCCCCATTTAAGAAAATTCAGAACTCCATCTTTCAAGTTACTCAGGTCAAAATGATTGGAGTCATTACTGACCCCTCTCTTAATCTCACTCCACATCTTTTAACAAATCTAGTTAGCTCTACCTTAAAATGTAACTAAAATCCAGTCACTTTTCACCCTGGTCCAACTCATCACTGCAATAACTTCCTGACACATTCTACCTTCAACATACCTGTCAAAGTGATCATTTTATAATTTAAGTCAGATCATATCACTTGACTGATCATGAAACCTTCCAATAGTTTCCCATCATGGACTGCAAGGCCTATATACAATCTGGCCATCCCTTACCTAACCTTATCGCCTCCATCTCCCTCTTGCTCCCTCCATTCCTGCCACAATGGTCACCACATCTCCACATCTCCACATAGGTATCTAATAACCATATAAAAACTAACATGCCTAAAAACAAAATCTTGAAACCATCCCCTGCCCCAAATATGTTCTTCCCATTCTCCCCCATTTAAGAAAATTCAGAACTCCATCTTTCAAGTTACTCAGGTCAAAATGATTGGAGTCATTACTGACCCCTCTCTTAATCTCACTCCACATCTTTTAACAAATCTAGTTAGCTCTACCTTAAAATGTAACTAAAATCCAGTCACTTTTCACCCTGGTCCAACTCATCACTGCAATAACTTCCTGACACATTCTACCTTCAACATACCTGTCAAAGTGATCATTTTATAATTTAAGTCAGATCATATCACTTGACTGATCATGAAACCTTCCAATAGTTTCCCATCATGGACTGCAAGGCCTATATACAATCTGGCCATCCCTTACCTAACCTTATCGCCTCCATCTCCCTCTTGCTCACTCCATTCCTGCCACAATGGCTTCCCTCCTGTTCCTTGAATACATTTTCCATCTCAGGGCCTTTGCACTTGGTCTTCTCTCTGCCTGAAAAGTTCTTCTCCCATTTATCCACATGGATCACTCCCTCGCCTTCAGGTTTTTGCTCAAATGTCACCTTTCCAATATTGACTGTCTTGATTACCCTATTTAATATTGCAACTTCCCTCAATCCCTCATCCCTGAATTTTCTTCATCACACTCATTACTACTTAACATATGGTTTACTTTGCTTAATTTATTTTATTGTCTTTCTCTCCTGACTTGAGAGCAGAGATATTTGTTCTGCTCACTGCTGTAGCCTCAGGGCCAAGAACCGTGCTGACCTGTGGATCTGGCTCAAAAGGTTATTTGTTGAATGAATAAAATGAGAAATTCTCAGTTTACTGCTAGCATGTCTTTTGACCCTCAACATTGCTAATCCTCTTTGAGAGTTCATCACCTTATCAGGCAAAAGTATAAAGTCATAATTTAGTAACATTAAATTAAAATGTTTTGCTTGCATTCTCTTTTCAATTGCTTTTTATTTAAGACACGGGGTTTCTATTTGTTCTTGTAACAGTTTTTAATAGATGTTTTTAAGTTTAAAAAGCGAGTCTCTTCTAAGAAAAACATTAATAAATTATAGTGGGACTAGCAAAGAAACATGACAAAAATAGTGCAAGTGGTATCTGAATGCCTGAAGTTTAAGAACTCTCAGGGTAGAGTAGCCAGGTCAAGTACAGTTATAGATAGATAATAAATGGTATTTTTAGTGTATGCCCCAAATATTGCATGGCACCCAACGGCACTAAGAAATTACTCATCTGAAATCCTGTTTTAAATGAGCATCCTTTTTCCTCCCCCTAAATTTAGCAACTCTCTTAGGGCAAAGAAACCACACCAAGCGCCTTGTCGCTTCCATTTAGATTTATCCATAACAAGCTGGTTGAACTCTTGTCCTACCAACAGACTGCGTGGCTTTTATGTCCCTGTGGGCGAGTACCGAGGAATGACATCCTAAAAACCAGAGAGGGATGGATTCACAGTGCATTTTGGGAGGGGAATGGTCCTCAGAACTAGCAGCCTCGCTGCACTGACCGGGAGAGAAGCGGGTAGGGAAGGGGTTCCGGGCCCAGCTCCCTATCACAGCCTCTCAGACACCTGCTTAGTGGAGGCCAAGGCTTGGCAGCCCCTTTCCGGCCCTTACCAATGTTGCCTTCGATGGAGAGCCTTCGGGGCCCGTGCCCCGCGTGCAGGCCCTTGGAGGGGGGCACGCCCAGGAGGGGGCTCTGGACCATGGAACTGCAGGGGGCTCGCACCAGCCTTAGAAAGCGCCTGCCTGCGGCCATCCTACCCAGGATTCGCGCAACCAGCACTTCCGCCAAGAGCACTTCCGCTCCCGGTTCTGTTGTCCGCGCACAACAGCGCATCTCTGACGTCAGAGATCGCCCGGCAGGAAGTGGGCGGGGTTGAGCTGACTGAGAGGGTGGGGCCAAAGGGACCGCTCTCTTCTCGCGATGTTTGTCGAGAAGCGTTGTGAGAAAGTCAAGTTCGGTTTTGGGATGCGGGAAAGTTTGCTGATACCAAGGGCGTGATTAACCCCTTTGCATTCGCTTATTGGAAAACACTTTAAAAGAGACATAACAATTCCAACGCCTTTGCATTTTTGTATAACTTAAAAATAATTTTCATAACAAAAGACAAATCAGAGTAATTGTAATTTTAAACGAGGTTTCTTTTTTTCCAGGTGTTTGTGGTCTGGCTTTTATTCTAAAATGGGATGGAACTGGACGGTTTTAAGTAGGAAAATGATGCAATCTAATAATTTACACAAATTAACTTTTTCCCTATTCCCTGTAACGCGGCAGCACAATGCTGGCACTTTATGGGATAAATCAACAAATGAGTTCAACTACATCGCACCTCTTTGTCTCTTGAATAAATAAACGTTTGCTCAACCGATTGGCGTAGAAGCCAAATATCCCATTAGGATAAAGTGGGTGGAGGCTTGGAAGTGACTGGAACTGGTTTAAACTTGGTAGATTGGGTTCTGTTGGGGAGAATAATTGCGGGGTGGGGGTGGGGGGTGAGAGTGATGGGGATTCCGAATGGGATTTGTGAAAGGAAGAGCCGGGGACCGAGGGACTCACGCTGGTGTATAAAACGAGTCCTGCTGTCGACGGAGAACTGCTTTGCAGGGGAGCGGGGACAGTTCTGAGCTGCTGCTCTCAGTGCGGCCCTGACTGGCTTCGCCCTGCCACCCCCTAACGTCCCAACGACCTCAGATTTATGGCTCGTCAGGGGGTGCTTCCACCTTCTGCGCTTTAACCTCGAGAGTCAACAGGCAACACCGCATTCCGGCAGCGCTGTTGGAGGTGGAAGCTTTTAGGAAGCAGAGACCTGCTTGCTAGGGGGTGGGGAGGGTGGATGCCTGGACACCTGTCTTGAGGCTGTTTGCATAGCAAGCACAAGCCCTCTTTCCTCTATTGATGTGTATATAATGGTCCAAGTGACGTCTGTATATTAAACATTATTTTTAAAAAATAGATTGTACATTTATTTAGGATAACCTGGGTGGAGTACTAATGAATATTGGAACAGCTAAAGTCTGCTTCATCCCCACTCCCACAGCCACCTCTATGTCAAAATATTACTTGCCCTGGCCAGTTTTGCTCAGTGGATAGAGTGTTGGCCTGTGGATTGAAGGACCCCAGGTTCGATTTCAGTCAAGGGTTATGTACCTTGGTTGCAGGCTCAATGCAGGCTGGATCCCCTGGCCCTGGTCGGGGCATGTTCAGGAGACAACCAACCCATGTGTCTCTCACATCGATGTTTTTCTGTCTCTTCCCTTCCCTTCCACTCTCTAAAAATCAATAAAAAATATCCCCAGGTGAGGATTATAAAAAAAAAATAATAAATTACATTTCTTGTCTATGTAAACTCAGATTGGGAAAATATTCATCCAAAAAAATGTTTGAGAGGTTCTCTGGGCCCTTGAGGTCTCCTGCTTCATTGCCCTCAGGGTCTCTGTGAAGGCTGAAGGAGGAAGTTGTCCGCAGGTTTATCTGCAGACAGGCAACTAACCTGCCCCTAAAAGTTGAAGCTCCTGAAAGTTACTATTTTTACAAAACATTAGTGAAGTATAGTATGTAGTGAAGAAAAGAGCATGTATTCATTGTAAGTTTACAGTTTAATGAAAACTTTCACAAAACTGAATATATCCTTGTCACTAGATTCAGATAAAGAAAGAGCGCATTACCAGCATCCCGAGAATCCATTTCTCATGTCAATTACTACTCCCCCAAAGGAAAACAATAGCCTGAGTTCGAACAGCAGACTTTAGTTTTGCCTGTTCTATATATAAATGAAATTATATAGTAAGTACTAATTTCATTCAACATAGTATCTGTGAGATTGTAGCTGTAGTTCATTCATTCTCAGTGCTGTGCAGTATTTCACTGTGTCACTCTACCACAATGTATTTTATCCATTTTATTACTGATGGACATTTGAGAATTTCTAGATTTGGGCTATTATGAATAGCATTACTATGAATATTCTTGAATATGTGTTTTAGTAAAGTTAATTATGCAGTTCTCTTGGGTAAATACTTATGATACCAACAGCTATGTGATCGGCTATTTGCATATTCCGTTTTAGTAAATATTCCTAAATAATAAATAGGTCCACAGTGTTTGATTGTACCTGTTGACACTGCCACCAGCAATAAGTGAGCACAAGCTCTGGTTGTTCCACATTCTTACCAACAGTTGGTATTTTCGTGTGTGTTTTTTTTTCATTCTGCTGTATGTAATGGTGTCTTATTATAGTTTTAGTTTGCATTTTCCTGATGACTAATGAAGTAAAACACCTTTTCATATGTTTATTTTAGAAACCTCTGTTGAGAAGGACCTGTTTAAGTCCTATGCCCATTTTTCTACTGGCTGTCTTTTACTTATTGATATTGTTCATTATATATGTTGCATATGAGTCCTTAGTGAATATTTTCTCTGTTTCTTGCTCCTAAAAGCCCTCAGGTTTTTTTTATGTATAGTGTAACGTAAGAAACAAAAATGTCTTTTGCCTAAATTGCCTGTCAGTTATCTCAATACTAATGATGACTCTTCTATCCCTTTTATTTCTTTATGCTTGCTTTATTCTGTTATCCCATGCATAAAAATTCAACATCTTTCTAGTCTTAGTTCCAAATTCCCAGAAGAAAGGATCTGATAGGCCCAGCTGTGCCCAAAAGATAGGGCCTCAGAGAACAAACATGAGTGTTAGGTCCCCACCCTGTGCGCCAGGAATGAGGGCTATAAAGGGATCGCTGTGAGCAAGGTCGACATCCAAAAAAGGTGGTGATCAAGTTCCTCCTAGAAGTAGTTAATAGGGTGTATTCATCCCACCTTAGGTGTTGGCCAGAGACAGAAAGTGAGCAGAATTATGTCCCAGTTGCCTGGAGAGGTGAGGCCACTTTTTGCTCCTGGGTGATTGTCAGGTATCTGCTGGAGTGTATGAGTAAGAGCTCACTGCCCTACTTAAACTGTAGCCACTCAGTATCCATTCCGTCATTCAATATTTACTGAGCATCTACTATGCACCATTCACTCTGCTTAGTCCTTGGGGTGCAGCTCTGAAGGCATTACCATTTTCAAATGCTTTTTAAGTGCTATTGTGACAAATAAAATACTGACTCATATTACAAAAATGCTTATGCAGCCATTAAAAATGGGGAGATAAGTACCCACAAATGTGACCCTGACTTTCTTCTTCTGCTTGGACATCCTGTCAGTTACATTCTTTCTACATCAAGGACATCTTGGTGTGCTGGACTATGCTGACTCAAGTTGGTGAAGCTGGGAAGTACACTCCTGGAATCCCCTCCTGACGGGGCTGTGAGTTAGAGTTGGCCCAAAGAGGACCTAGTGTGAAATTTGCAAAGCAGATGGAAGCATCAGCAACTCCATAGTCAGATACTGTGACAGACAGATGTGCCCACAAATAGATACTAGCTAGTCCTCAAGGCCACAGGGATTCCTCTGCGATCATCTCACAATTCCTTCTAGACCAGCGGTTCTCAACCTGTGGGTCGCAACCCCTTTGGGGGTCGAACGACCCTTTCACAGGGGTTGCCTAAGACAGTGGTCAGCAAACTGCAGCTGGCGAGCCACATGCGGCTCTTTGGCCCCTTGAGTGTGGCTCTTCTACAAAATACCATGTGCGAGTGCGCATGTACAGTGCAATTGAAACTTCATGGCCTGTGCACAGAAGTCAGAATTTTGTGGAAGAGCCACACTCAAGGGGCCAAAGAGCCACATGTGGCTCACGAGCCGCAGTTTGCCGACCACTGGCCTAAGACCATTGGAAAACACATATATAATTACATATCGTTTTTGTGATTAATCACTATGTTTAATTATGTTCAATTTGTAACAATGAAATTGGGGGTCACCACAACATGAGGAACTATATTAAAGGGTCGCGGCATTAGGAAGGTTGAGAACCACTGTTGGACCTTCTCTTCCCCAGCTCCTCCCACCTTTGGGTTGTCTCATTCCTAATAACTTTCTTCTTTCTGCAATGTGAATGGTGGCTCTGCTCCTCTGAGTGAACTCTGACTGATATACCTCATTACAGAGGGAGGCATACAGGGGGGTCTGGATTCAGACGGCCAGGGGAGAGGATTAAGAAAGCTAATCCAGCCCTAACTGGTTTGGTACAATGGGTAGAGCGTTGGCCTGCAGACTGAAGGGTCCGGGGTTCGATTCCGGTCAAGGGCATGTACCTTGGTTGTGGGCACATCCCCAGTTGAGGGGGTGCAGGAGGCAGCTGATTGATGTTTCTCTCTCATGGATGTTTCTAACTCTCTATTCCTCTCTGTAAAAAATCAATAAAATATATTTCTTTAAAAAAAGAAAGCTAATCCATAGGTAGCTTTTAACACAAGGCATGTCACACAGCCACCACCCAATAGACATTATACAATAGCCAATGGCTCCTTCAGCGTGGCCCTCAGTGCCTGGGACATAGCTTCTATTTATCCTTGGTTGACTTCCTGTTGGATTTCCACTCTCCTCAAGCCACTGTAACCAACCCACGGAAGGATTCTAGGACAGCACTTCTTGAAGTGGAGCAAGACTGGAAGGGGAGGGAAGGGAATGACCAGTTGGCCTTCCCTTCTTCCCCCATAGGGAGACTCCGGCGTGCCCGTCTCTAGCAGGGGGTGTCAGTACCCCTTATCTCCATGGGTCCCTGGCTGTGTGCATGTGCCCACCAACCTCCTCCCTGAGCTTTCTCTCCCAACAACCAGTGCCTGTGGCTTTTCTTTGCAGGACTGCCCTCCGCCTACTGGAGCCCTTTCCCTTCACAAGAGGAAAGCCCGGGACTTTATGCCCAGGGTGCACCTACCCTGACAGGTGACTGTGAAAGCCCAGCTCATTGCC